GGGAGCCTGATGCGGGACTCGATCCAGGGACTCCAGGATCATGACCTGAGCCGAAGGCAGTCGCTTAACCAACTGAGCCACCCAGGCGCCCGACAGAATATTTTCATTGCTTCCAAATATTTGGGTCCATTTTACTTTCTCATCATCAAAATGTTAGTTAACATCCTATGTTAGATATAATTGCATGAATAATATGTTGTTATCTTAGTAGATTTTTTTTTTCTGAATAAGCATATTCCAAATAAACATATTCAGAAGCCTCTGGAGAGTAGTAGCTTGCTGATTATTACCTTGTTCCCTGTCTTCTTTCTGCCTTGTTATTTTAGTTATATGACCCTAAAAAATAAGAAATGATTAGATTTTGAATTTTAAAGAAGGATAATTAAGAAAGATTAAATTTTGGAAGTTTTTAAACAGCAGAATCACATGAAAGATTAAGGAAGGGTGAGTTCTGTGATGATGGGATGTAACATGGTGTGGAACATAACCTTTCTATGTTGTTGCTGTTGTTTTATTTGACTTCATTATTTACTTAAGGTGGTAGAATTTATTCATAAAGTTGCATGTATTTTGCCCTCTCTTCTTATCACAAAACAGATACAGTGTTGGTATTTTGCTTTAGCTTTATATGTTTGACCAATACTGTGAAATTCCAAAGGTTATGTTGCATGATAGCAGTTTCTTGAACATGGGCGTTGACATTTAGCGTAAGAGCAACAATGCAAGTTGGTGGGGCCTGACTCAGCCAGCTGTTTCGTATGTGTGTATTTCTAATTATTTTAGCATTCACAGCATGTGATATTTTCACATTTTTCAGTGAAAGGCTTATTGCATTCAGTGCATTCTTAAGTTACATTGTTAGTGTTGTTTTTCTATTACAATAAAACAGGCATTACTTGTTTATGCAAATTCCAAGTTAACACAAAAGCCTGTGATTTGAGGTTTTATTTTATTTTTCATTAGAGTAGAAATGAGAAACCATTCCATTTTTTTAAAGTTATCTGACAAGCTTTCTGTTGAAAAAATAAAATGTTTATTTAAAGGGTTAGCTTTTTTTTTTTTTTTTGGTTTCTTTTTACAGGAGAATATCACAATACATCTCTAGAGAAAAGTATGCTCAGTCCTCATCTTTTGATTTCTTTCCTTTTGCTTAAAGCCAGAATTGCAATTGATGCATGATAGGATCTTTACCTTTCCTGACTGATTTAGCTCTGTTACGTGTTTCCTTTAAAAAATAAGTTTATTTCCAAGTTTAAGCCTGTAAATTTCTTTCCTACTGAATAATACCTGGAAATATTAAATTTGGTTAGTACCGTGTACCCTGTGGAGCTTGGTCATGTTGGACGTTATATATATGGGCGGCTTAAAGGTACATTCCTTCACAGTAGACTGCATTTACACTTGCCATCTTCTTATTTAAGTTTTTTTTTTTTTAAGATTTTATTTGTTTATCTGAGAGAGAGAGGGCGCACACTCGCACAAGTGGGGGGAGGGTCAGTGGGAGAGGAAGAAGCAGGCTCCCCGCTGAGCAGGGAGCCAGATGTAGGGCTGGATCCCAGGACC